TTTGCGTTTCGCTGCCACCAGTGCAGCGTCCCGAGAGTTCCAAGTAGGATGGAGGAAGGGAGGAAGTGAGAGTTGGATAAATGTATATAGAAGGGAACAGAGCGAATGGGTCTGAGGATGGCTAGAAGGCGTGGCTGCGAGTGCAAGGGTTAGACAAATCCCAAAGTGACCGCTGAACGTCAGGTGAACACATAAACAAAGCACTGCACTGTTCACCACCTTTAGGTATTTAGCATAAAGTTTTATCTCACTTTTGTGGATAATTTCAACTCGCAATAGTTTTGCAAAGTAATTCTAACTATTTATTAACGTATTGTGGGCTGTCTGTATCCCCAACTTGGTTTGCAATTTGCTTAACTTTTAGCTTATAGGGATTGAAAAATGTTTTCCTCCTCCAAACTTGCATTTTGAGAGTTAGTCTGCACTTAAATGCGAAAAAGTTGGCTGAAACAGTTGTTTGCGACCCACACTGACCGCCTGTGTGATGCCATTGAAATAACTCTAGGCTGCAATCGCTTTCATCGCACAGAAATAAAATGTGCATTCTTGGAAATGGCCATCATTACTTATAAATTTTAAGGATTCTTGGGACTTTTACTCCCTTACGACGTATGAAAAGACAAAACATTTGGCAAATGGTGCTGCAAATTGACGTGGGGATAAGAATTTGGCCATCTCCATAATGGGGCTGCCTGTCTTGTCCAACTGCCTTTACGTAGGAGAAGGTGCGCCACCAATACGTGGACTAACTCTGGCCATTTCTTACTCCTGATTAGTGATGCATGCCCCTGGGAAGGGATCTCACTGACACGGTTCATCGCACTCCTGAATTGTCCCGAGGCGGGAAAGGAGAGACCGTGGGGTGGAGGGGGTGAGGGAAGAAGAAGGCAAAAGGCACACAGGGAGATGGGCAGTGACAGTGGTGGTGCACAGGGGAAGGGAATGAAGAAAATCATTGGACATGCTACATGTTACCGGAAATTAAGAAGCCGCCGCAACCAATGAAAAATTTTACTTCACATATTAGGGTTTTCCAGTAGGCAAACCCTATTACCTCCTCGTATCGGTCGGTGACTAATGGAACGTGTTGTCATCAATTTTTGCCGTTTTTACTCATTCTCTCACCTTCACTATTCCACTTAACTTTAAATGACTCTGGACAAAGTTAAAATCTCCTTTTACGTCTGATTTTGTCTTCTGTTGCGGCCAAAAGAAAGGAGAACTCATCCAGGAGTTGGAAAGTAAATCGCTCACAAATAGAGAGCAGTGGAGACCACAATTTCTACAAGGTGTAACAGCATTTTTAAATTGCCTCCACTGTCAATTGGTCCTACAGGAAGTCTTGGAGCCTAAAGTTCAATTTTTAGCCTAAATTTTATTAGACCAACTGCTTGCATACCATCCCTAATAGTCTCAGGTCAACAGTGTGCTTTGTTTTTGTGTCAAATGTCACTTCAATTTCCGTAAACTAAGAATTTGGTGTGAGTATGTGATGCTCAAATACGTCCGATCGTCGACGCTCGCCTTTTGGCCTTCAGCCAGGTGGAAGAGAGAACTTGCGCTCGTAGTTGCCTCTGACACGGAAAGGAGTCCTATCAAGCATAGAAGAGGATTTATCAACATCAATCACGAAGATTACGATTTTTGTCTGCAAAGCAAAGGGATTAACACTTTTCGATGAACTTTTTTTGTCTCCACTCAGTGATGTATCACCCTTGTTCACAGCACCTGTCAAGGTTTTTTCGCACATAACTGTTTTCCTTCCTATCAAAAGTAGGCTATATTTATGATCTTAGGACCATTTGAAACGCCTGATTTGACTCCTAACGCTTTTGTGACAACCTGACATACACCCATGCGTCAAGTTGATGAGTAAAGTCACCAGAGGTGCTCCTTTTGACCAAGTCTTCAAGGCTAGTGTCGTGTGATGGAGAATATCCTCCACCCTAGTGCTGTCAGTGCAAGAAGATGAGGAATTTAGTTGACTACTCAAGCATAGCACTATTCAGATTAGTCTCCACACCAAAAAAGGCTGCTCAGTTAAGAGTAAATGCTCTGTAAGGCCCAGAAGAACAAAAAAAGAACAAGGAGTAGGAGGCGCGGTTGGGGGGAGGCCAGGCGGAGGAGGGGGAGAGAGGAGCGAGAAAAGAGTCCGATTTCGGTACTGGTGAAGGAGAAGAAGTGTTGTTTAATGAAGTAGAAAGACCGACCTACTGATGCATCGATAATGCCTATACCGCGACGCAACGCCCTGTAAATCACCCCACCTCCCTGTCCGCCCACCCATTCAACCTTTTCTCTCTCTCTCTCTCTCTAAACAGTCTTTTAATTAAACTGTACAAAAGGCGGCATTTTTACCATACCTATGAATTATTACATTATGAAGAATTATGTGCATCAAAAACTCACACAAAAGGAGAGAATGCAAGGGATTACGACTCAATTGTTTAATTAAACTCTCCATCGAGGCTCTAGCATTGATAAGCCACTCAATCAACAGTAGCTAGAGGTTGTAGGCATAGAGAGAGAAAAAAATATGTTGAAGGATCGACAATTTCATTTGGGAGGTCAGAGGAAAGGCGAGAAGAAAGGAAGGAGGGGCGGTCGGAGATTGGAGGGGATAGGCAATGAAAGGCACTTCAACCTGCCACTTCATTTTGTTGCCACGTGAAGCAATATGCATAGAAATATGCTTGTTTTCCATTACACCTAACTATTAAGGGGAGGAGGGAGGAGAGTGTGAAGAATTAAATTTCCGGTGTTGAGTTACCTTCAATTCACTGCTCCTCTCGACATTCATCTAACGAATTCGGGAATGAAGGAGGAGGAGGAGGGTGGGAGGAGGGCGAGGGACCGTAGCAATGAAATTCTCTGCCTCCTCCCCTCCCCCACCCTACCTTCCGCCTTTACGTGTTTATGCATCGCCAGCCCAAAAAGAAGGAGGCGGCGGCGGCGGCGGCGGCAGAGGAGGAGGAGGAGGAGAAAGGCGAGAAGATTTACTTGGGCGTAAAGTGATTTGACAGTGTCCCCTAGGAGTGGCCACTCATTCCAAGTCCTGCCACCGATGCCATAATAGGAGCCTTACAAATTTATTTTTGAACATCCTAGCATCGCCTCATCTCCCTTCCTCTACACTTTAATATGCCAAACCGGAAGGAAGTTGGCTACATCTAGTCAATTACTTCGAACTGTCTAATCCACTTATTGTCATCACCCACCAACCAATCAAATCGACGCTCTCCTGACAACCAAATTGACCACAATTCCACTTTACGAAACAAGACTAAAAGAAAATATAATAATTAGTATTAAAATTAGCTTTAATTTATTTATTTAAAATAACGTTCAGTTTTTTTACTACTTTCGTGATATGCTTGCCTTGCTAAACTCTCCATAAAATATAAAAATCCACAAATGCACATCCTTCACTCGTGCCTTCATCACCTCGGGCTTAATTTGTTCGACTTTAATGAAGTTGACGGGTTGAGGCATCATGCTTTGTAACAAAATTACTTTTGAAACAGTAAATAATTTTTAACTAGTCCGTAAATCATGCCTCAACTAAAATTTTGTTACTCATAGTTGGGAGAAAAGGGCCTACGTTTACGTAATGAATATTTGGGAATGCAATGCTTCAATGCATCAAAATGGATGGAACGAGGTGAAAAAAAAAGAAGCAAAAAAAAACTCACCTCCACCTCCTTACTTGCTTCGTCGGGGCCTATTTGAGGGTGGAATGCCGTAGGGGGGCCCTCCTTACGATTGGTGGGTTGCATTTCACACACCGCGAAAAAACTGTCTCAGAGGGTCTTGAAAGTGGCGACCTCTTAAAAAGCTCCCAGAAGACGAGTACTACT